GCTCAGGCTGGTCTCAAACCATGAGCTCAGGCAATCTACCTGCCTCGGCCTCCCAGAGTGCTAGAATTACAGGGTTAGCCACTGCACCTGGCCCAAAACAAGAGTATTTTTTCAGGCTCGGCGCCTATAGCTCAGCGGCTAGGGCACTAGCCACATACACCAGAGCTGGAGGGTTCAAATCCAGCCTAGTCTGCAAAACAACAATGACAACAACAAGAAAAAATAGCCAGGCATTGTGGCAGGCGCCTGTCGTCCCACCTACTTGTCATCCTAAGCCTGTCATTGCTTAAGCCCAGGAGTTTGAGGTTGTGGTGAGCTGTGATGCCACGGCACTCTACCCAAGGCGACAGCTTGAGACGCTGTCTCAAAAAGGAAAAAGAAAGAGTTTTTTTCAGTACCAGATCAGACTGTGGGGGCTGGGTCAAAACTTCTCTGGTCTTTTGGTTCCCCAGGCAGCTTCCTCATTCCCAGTCGGGTCATGGAGTTTGCTATACTCTAGGCTATACTCTTCTCAGGAGGCAGGGGATGAATAATCAAGGCTACACACTGAGGTCCCCTTACTTGGGCCCTGGAGTGCCTCTCAAGTCCCATCACTGGACAGCAGACCTAGAAATGATCAGAGCAGGGTCCTGAAAGAGTCCTGGGTGCCTCCAATGTAGCCTGAACCCAAGCCTTCTAGGAAGCCCCTGCTGTGTTTCTCCCCTCCTGGCCTTTTTGTTCCAATGGCAGAAAGTGATGCTCATTTGCATGCCAATTTGCATCTCATCAGCATATGTAATCAAAATTCCATCTTATCCATGTGTCACCGAGAGCCTGGAGTAGGGAAAGAAATCACCCCAGGATACTAAAACCAGAAAGGATAATTTAAGACCTCCCTTTAATAAGGGAAGAAACAAGCCCAGAACACAGCAGTGACTCCTCTTCCATCTCCACCCAGATTTCTTAGCTTGCCTCTAGTCCTATACGATCCCCTCTAGGGACTGACATGTGCAATTGTCAACCAAAATAGGAAAAGAAAGTATCTGCTTGGGCCCAGCTCCCGGCACC